TGATTATGTAGTGTATATGCATGAGTCTGACTAGGACGTAGGTGTTGAGGATGACCCATACACGTTTTTACAAGCTATTGGCAATAGTAAATATAAGTTGTGGTATAATGCCATGATTGACGAGATGAATTCTATGGCGGATAATAAAATTTGGAACCTTGTTAAGTTGCCTACTGGAAAGAAACCTATTGGTTGTAAATGGGTATTTAAAACCTAAAGGGATTCATTAGGCAACATTGAGAGATACAAGGCTAGGCTTGTTGCCAAGGGGTTCAAGCAAAGGGAAGAGATAGATTATAAAGAAACATTTTCTCTAGTTTCTAGAAAGGATTCCTTTTACATCATTATGGCATTAGTTGCCCATTTCGATTCAGATTTACATCAAATGGATATGAAAATAGCTTTCCTCAATGGAGATTTGGAGGATATGAAACAATCTAATGGGTTCATTTCAAGTGATGTGAGCATTTGGTTTACAAGCTTAAGAAATCCAATTATGGACTTAAAAAAGCCTCTCGACAGTGGTATTTAAGATCTCACACTGTTATCTCTTCATTTGGTTTTGTAGATAATGTCATGGATTAGTGTATATACCACAAGGTAAGTGGGAACAAAATCATTTTTCTTGTGTTATATGTAGCTGATATTTTACTTGCAATGAATGATTTGGGTTTGTTGCATGAGGTGAAACAATTTCTCTCTTAACATTTTAGTATGAAATATATGAGTGAGGCGTCTTATGTCATTGGCATTAAGATTCATAGGGTTAGGTCCCAACATGTTTTGGGACTATCTCAAAAAGTCTATATTAATAAAATTCTTGAGAGATTTAAGATGAAGGATTGTTCATCCAGTGTTGCACTCATTGTTAAGGGTGATAGGTTCAATCTGAACCAATGTCCTACGCTTGAGATTGAAAAGGAACAAATGAAAACTATTCCTTATGCTTTAGCTATTGGAAGCCTAATGTATACTTAGATATGTACTAAACCTAACATTACTTTTGCAGTTGACATGTTAAGAAGATATCAAAGTAATCCAGGTTTAGATCATTAGAGAGCTACAAAGAAGGTCATAAGGTATCTTCAAGGAACTAAAGGTTTCATGCTTACTTATAGACGATCTGACATTTTAGAAGTCATCGGATATTTAGACTCAGACTTCAATGGCTATGTTGATTCTCGAAAATCGACATATGGATATGTTTTTATGCTAGTCGGAGGTGCTATATCTTAGAGAAGTACCAAACAATCTTTGGTTGCCACTTCTACAATGGAAGCTGAGTTTGTTTCCTGTTTTGAGGCTACTACACAGGGCATTTGGTTGAGAAGTTTTATTTTTGGGCTTGGAGTTGTTAAGTCTATCTCTAGGCCAATAAAGTTGTTTTGTGACAATTTAGCTGCTGTGTTCTTTGCTAAGAATAATACGAGTGGAAGTTGAAGTAAACACATCGACATTGAACACTTAGCAATAAAGGAGCACATTAAAGCCAAGGAAGTGTTCATTGAACACATACGCACCGAGTAGATGATTGCTGATCCTTTGACAAAAGGCATGCCACCAAAGACGTTCAAGGATCATTTAGTACAAATGGGACTACATCTCGCTTTGTCACTGTGACAGGTAATACTTTCATTCTCTGAAACTTTCTAAATTTAGTTTTTTTTTTTTTTTCTCTTTTAAGTTGTATATATTTTGGTTGTAGACAAACAAACATTCTGGAAGACTTAGAACAAACATTCGAGGTTTGTTCATGAAGTAATATTCCACAATTAAATGTTTATTTAGAAGAAGAAAATTACATAGTAATACATGGAATGTAATACTTGTTTAAAAAGGACTTACCGCTATGATTCATGCAATTCTATTTTTCTAATTAAATATAAAGAATACAAAACTACTATGTTGTGGATTGTGTAATAAAAGTTTGGACCAAGTGGGACAATGCTTGAATTTTAATTAATTAAAATTCTACTATTTGGTCCTTCACTTTTATATATATTATTTTATATATAAATTTAAACTGGTAAGTAGTTTTCAGCAGTTATCCTTAGTAGTTGTCTTTGATACAAAGACTTTGCGTGCTTTAAAAGGTGAACGATTACAGGTCCCCAATACATGCAATTATTCTGACTCCCAAAAACCATCGTTTTGAGAATTGCGGTGCATTGGAAGAGTCTGTAACTTTTGAAGAACACAACAACAACAAAGTTGCTATGGCTGGAGGTTAGTGGTTACATTATTTTGCTTCTGCAAATTTCCATGAATATATGAACATGTATATGAATAATGATATGAATATATACATGTTGATCTTGAGTGATTTACATTGCTGGTTTTAACAGAATGATGTTTCAAGAATGTTAATGATGAGCCATATCAAGAGTATGAGGTAAATGAACAAATTGATGAAGAAAATTTAGAATCATTATTGTGAGAAGACAAGAAATTGATGTTAGCATTGTCCTTCCAAAAAACAAATTAGTTCAGAAGAAAAATAAAACTGATAAATCTTGTGATGTTTCCAATAATGGAGTTTCTAGTGATACGGATGATTCAGTGAAAAAGATTCTAGTGATGGAGAAGATTATATTGATGGAGGAGATGATACTATTCTTGACTATTGCGATGATACTGATGACGAGCAAGATGATGATGGTGAGAACGAAGATGACGAAAATGACTATGATGAGGATGATGGTGAGTTTTAATATTGTACACTTGATCATATGGGTACTTCCTTATCGTTTGGTGGGGGTATACTTGATTTTATAATTTGTATTTTATTTCAATTTGATTGTAATGAATATCACTAAGTGCAATTGATAGATTATAATTTTATATTTTTATTTTATCCTTACATCTAGTTTATTTGACATGTTTTATGTCTTATGGTGCTGAATTAGAATGTGTTAGTGAATTATGCTTAAAACCAAAACTTTTCAGCATTTTTACTTTTGGATGTTTTGAGCTGTTTGCTTTTGATCAACTTAGAGTTTCAGTTTGAGTTCAGAGCCTTCTATGAAGTTAAAGTAGACATCTCAAGCTTTTCTGAAAGGTTTGGTACATCAAATTTCGAGTTTGTTTGGGTCTCCAAACAATGATATGCAGTCAGAGCTGAAAACTGCAATCGAATCCTAATTCTCTTTTGTTGTTGATGCTTGGCCTTTAGTTTGCTCTAGTTTGGGTTATGTGCTGTCCCATGAAGGTGCATTGTTATACTGGTGTATTGCTTTTGTGGTGTTGGGTTTTTTTGGCTATTTTTGGTGGCTGTTGTTTTGTATAACTTGAGCAGTTGATCTGTTTTCCAGAAGTACTCAATTTTTTTGCAGCTGGTCTTTTTGTATAGATCTTTTTTAGGCTAGTTTGCTATGGATTGTTAATCCATGCCTATCCTCTTGTTTTGTTTTGCTTGGTTGCTTGGGCCTGTCCAAGGACCTTGACTCTGTAGGAGTCCTTTTTTAGCGATTCATTATTTCATTCTTTATAATAATAATAATAATAATAGTAATAATAATTACATTGATTGAAGAAACCCTCTTGTGAATATACATGGCTGAATTGATTTATTTTTATAATTTCATCTTTGATGTGAATATGTAATATAGACATTAATATTTAACATGTGATCCAAATGTTAAATATTAATGAGTTTTTCTTTTTTAGTGACATATATGCCAAAATTATTAATGAGTCTTATTATTATTATTATTATTATTATTATTATTATTTTAATGACATATATGTTATTGCTAAAAACTTGAGAGGAATAACAAATAGTTCTATGCGTATTAATTATGTTTTTTTAGCAAATTTTTGTCACAAAATATCACATTTAATTTGACTAAAATATTTTGTCACTAATACCTCGATTTTAACATTTGTAAATGATAATTTTCTTCTATAATGATAATAATTCGTTTGTGAAAAATTAGTTTATAATTATAACATGTATTACTAAACATAGTGACTAATGTTTTTTATGACAAATATGTTTGTTACAATAAACAATTTATCTCGATACTTAATTTTTGACTCAAACATTTTGTCATTAATACCTTTGTTTTAGTATATATTATGACAATTTTTTTATTTTTTTTTTGTAATAATAAATAAATGTTTTATGACAAAATATGTTTGTCACAATAAATAGTTTACCTAGGCACTAAAATTTTACACCAAAAATTTGTGATGAAATATCATGATAAAAAGTTTTTCTTCATTACATTTATTATTGGTTTCTTTATTATGATAATATTTTTTTTTAGTTACTATATATATATTTTTTTTTTGTCATACTTAATGTGATGTTTTTTTATTTTGTCATAATAACTATATTACTTATGACAAAATAACATTTGATAAAATTAATTTTGTCACAATATAACATATTTCTTGTAGTGTACAAAGAAGAGTAACACCAACTTAGAGGAAATGTCAAAGAAGAGGGGGAAGCGGAACTTCAACTAGTATGTCTTCTAGCCCTCCTCAAAATATCTCTTTCTTTGTGTAACAAGGAAGAAGAAGATCTAGAGGAAGAGCAGAATAAGGAGGAGGAAGTGGGCTTTGGTTTTGCTAAGAAGAACAGCAAGAGAGAGGGCAGGACGTTAATGGCGGGAGGGAGGGGGGCAAATTCTTTGTTTTGGGTTTGGGTTTCTTTGCAAAAAAATTGGGTTTTTGGGGACAAAAAGTAAGTAAATGCTTTAAAAAATATAATTATTTAGTAAAGAATTTCAAACATCATGACAATTTAATTATATCCAAACTTAAGATAGTCTTTTAATAATTTGCTCCCACATATCAATGGAAGAATAAAAGACAAATCCAGAATCTTTAACAACAATATCTTATTCATAGTAAACGTCTTAACATAACAGCAAGCTTCGATTGTAGACACTTACATGCTTATGGAGAAAGAAAATAGAAAAGAAGAAACTTCACGCTTAGATGATTCTTAACTTGATATTTTCTAACAACATAATCTGTAGAAATCCTCTTCATCAATTTGGCTTCCTACAGTTCTTCCTAATCTCACCACTAGATCCAGTGAGAGGACTAATGTCTCCCATCTTTATCATTGCAGCAGCAAAGTCAGAACTGAATGCTTTACGTTTTTTACTGTATAACTTGACCAATGAATCGGTGGATCCACCACTGAACAAAACTTGATCGGAGTGAAGTAAGCCCTTTTTCTTTAAAAGGTTCTTATAGTACTTATTGTCAAAATGTTTTGGAGTTCGCCGGTCTAATGGGGCTAAAATGTTATCTCCTGATCCAGAAGTGTTGGGACAGTTTTGTTGCCTAGTCTTAGCGAATGAACTATCAATGATGGCGTCATTGTATATGCGACTTCTAAAACTTATGCACCTTGCTTGCCCGATTGTATGCGCTCCTATAGTTAAAATACAAAATTGTATAGTTAGTTATTTTGAGTAGTTTATTCAGGGGAATACAATTTCTTGATCCAAAAACAAAAAATTCTATCTTTAAATAATAAAACAAAACAAGGGTTAAATCACACCACTTGGAACTTTAAAAATTTTCTGAAATGGAACCATGGATAAAATTGTAAAAGCAGTCAACTCACATATTTAATAGAAAATTCTAATGGTAGGGATGTCTTTGGTAGCTTCGGTGGTATGCAAAGTGTCAGTTTTTTTAGTTAGAAACCGTGTAATTCATTAACCCAAAAAAAATATTATAAAAGAAAACATTAGCCGGAAACATTTTTGAGTTGTACCACTCCCTTTCCCCCAAGTTTTTGTTTATTTATAAAATAAAAAGAAATGCTTTCAAGTATTTTATATTTTTATTAATTTTTTTAAAGCTATAAAAAACATTACTAAGTATTCGAGTAAATACTTAAAACTTTTATTCATGTTATTTTCGAAAAACTTATAATTTTTCAAGGCACTAATGTAGTAAACCCGAAGTAAAAATATTCCTTCTGAGACTTATTTTACCAGATAATGCAACCAAGTCCTTGGTAGAGAGACCTTGGGCCTTGAATGTCTGGATAAGGCTGCTAAGGTTATAAGTGGCAACAGGGAGGAAGCCACTACTATTGGCTGCAGCGAAGCTGGTTGTTTTGGAATCCCTTCTTCCAAGTTTAACATCCCAACTTAACCCACCAAGCTGCCACAATAATTTAACAATTCAAAGAAAGTTATTTATATGCTTGTTTTGTTTGAGGTTACTATGTAGATGTAAGAAAGTATTAACTTACAAACACTGTTGAGTCACGAGCTGCAATGGCTAAAATATCAGCACAAGAAACTACGCCAGGACACACTTTCTCCAACTTTGATTTTATCTTATCCACAACTTCGAACCCTTTTAGTGAATTGTTGTTCGGAAAAGCAGTTTTCTCCCCTGTAAATGAAGAAGTGTCATCAAGGAGTACTGACGCATCACACCCCTGTGTTAAACGCAAACAGTAAATTAATATATATATATATAGAAAATTCTCCAGGAAAATTACTGTACAGATATGTGAAGAAATGAGGCTAGATAAAAAATTATATATAGCCCATTAAATTAATGATTTGAATTATAGATTTCATCAATTTTTTTTTAATTATATGAAAATAATAGTTGTATTAATGGCTCAATTTGGGTTTTAATTAGTGTTTGATGACTTATTATGCTTAAATTAAGCTGAAAAAAACATCATAAAGTCCATGAACCACGATTTTTTTTTTTTTTTTCAGTTTACTAGGTTAAAGACGTATTGATCATGTACATTTTCTTGAAAGTCGACTCCTAATTAAGAAAGGCTTGCACAATTCAAACAGTTTGTCACAGGGAGATTTTCGATACTTAATGTTGGTTATATATATATATGTGTGTGTGTGTGTTTTACTAGTCTTTTGCATAAAAAGAATCTAGTACTACCGACAACATTTTTTTTTTCTTTTTTTTTAATGGAGTAAGAAACATTTTCAAGTTACAGAGACAGGTACCGTGTTGTGGAAAATTACTTACGTTGACAAAACATTCATGAAAGTGTAAGCGAAGGAGAGAAGCACCCATGCGACTGTCTTTAGAAACCGCAGATTCAACAACAGATTTCACTATAGGGAGGACTTTTGGACAAGTCTTACAATAGAATTTAGTAGAGAGATTAGCATCGGAGCTCCCTGTGAAAACCACAGGAAACACTAACAAGAAATTAATAATTGTGAAAGTCTGAAAGAAGCCATTAATGGAAACTTCAGCTAAGGAATTGAAGGAGTGTGTTGAGAAAGTAGTGGTGGACTTAAGGTTATATAAAGACGTTGGGCACAGGAAGATTACCTCATCCTTAGACTAATTCTCATATATGCATGGCGTTGGCACAGGAAGATTACGTCAATTGATTAATTGATAAGCATGAAGCATGGCCAAGAAAATGTTTAAATGAAATAAAGTGATTTAACGATTGACGTGCACGTAGCAACCCAGGAGGACTGAATTAGTCAATTCAGGTATCTTTTTAATTATGGATGTAAAGATGCCATACTTCAAGAGACTTAGATAGATGTTGATCACTTGACTATTTCAAAAGTTCAAAGATAAATTGCTTCAAGGAAAAGAAATCACACAACCTTTTTTATTATTATTATTTTTTTTTTTTACATCTTTATATATATAAAGAAATGCTACCCTAATAAATACAGATACCACATCAAAAGCATCATAAGTTAATATAAGATTGTCACAAGAATATTTGATTTAATAATTATCGATCATATATTAATCTTAAAAGTAAATAAATAAATTCATAAATCTGATAAATACATTAATTTGTAATATACTTCACGATCATGGGATTCTAGATTTTCTCTCAAATAGTTAATACATCTAGATTTTCTCTCAAACAGTTAAACGCTTCTATTAAGTCATTTTGAAGCGATGAGCTCGCACCTCAGGACAAGATAACTTCATTATATTTGATTCAGAAGTCAGTAGTCGTCTTATTATTATTTCCATTTCCTGTTTACTTGATTTATGACGGTTTAATACTTTTCTAATCACCAATGGTATGCTAAGTACAGGAAAAGAACAGAAAACTTGTAACAAGAAAATTTAAAATCAGACAATACTTTTCATATATAGTCTATCATACAAATTGACATGTTTTAAAATGATTAGATGAATTTAAATTAAAAGTAAATTAAATAATTAAAGGAGATTATATGTGAAATATACAAGGTTGTTATATCAGTTTATACACGGAATGACTTGTGTAGTTAGTTTGTTTATATGACAATATTCTTTAATTATTCAATGGCCTAAAAACATATCACCTTCAATGAGGATAAAATATGGTAGCAAAATACCGCAAAACCTCTTTAATTAGGCAGACCTTAAATGGAAAAGTCGTCCCAAAGTCAATTTCAAATGGTTGAGGAAATGGGTTCATTTAATATATGAGTTTGAAATCGGATTTTATTTCTTTTGTACATTCAAATCACAAAGTAAGAATATAATATTTAATGTGGGGTTTTTGGAGTTTGTCATTATTTACAAGAAGCGAAAATTAATGTTGCAGTAAATGCATTGTTTCGTCCGAAAAGGTAGAGAGAGTTATAATCTTTCCCAAACTTATCGTCCTACAGATTGGAAAACTAGGATTCACCCCTGGATTTAACCGAAGTAATAGGATTTGTTAAATGGAAGGATATCTACGTAGAATGGGCGTAGGCGGAAATTCAGTATAGGAGGGGAAAATTTTTGTAAAATTTTGAATATTATCTGTAGGATTTTGTTAAATACATTCATTATTGTTGCAGATGTGCTTCGATATTTTGAATTTTATTTTATTTTAATAATATTACATATCTAAAAAAAAATGATACTAAGTTGGACTTGCAAAACAAATTTGGAACTTAATAATATTTAGTATTCCCAAAAAAAAAAAAAAAAAAAAAAAAAAAAAAATTCATGCTACACATTTTACAAGTGTACTCATATTCTCACACCTTATATTTGACGTTTCATATTATAATTTCTGTCATTATAATTTTGACATTAAATATTATAAATTTTGTGTTTTACATTATAAATTACGTGTCTTTTTATAAGTTCAACATTTCTCTTTGTGTTGTGTTGTGTGTGATTTTTCCATCAAGCTCAAAAAATTGCGAGGTTATAGCCCGATCCAGAATCAGTTTGACTTAATCGATTGTCTGACCCAACACAAGCTTGTCGAGATGAAGCTTGACCTAGAATAAGCTAGTCGTGATCAATCCTTATAGTTGTTTAACAAACTCACAGATAACTTCAAATCCCGAATATATTCGAAGGGATCAGATTAACAGCAATTTTGGTGCAATCTCAACGCTTAATCGCAAGAATATCGGAGTTATATTTCAATCTTAATTATAATTCCTTTATTTTCATTCTTTTGTTTGTACAAAAATTGTATATAAACCCCCTCCAACAATGAGAAAGGTGTTAGCAAATTGTTCTAGGAACATTGTTGTAAGCTCTCACAGCAAATACAAAAACAATGGATGTAGGCTCAAGAGTTTAACTCATCGAACCACTTTAAAAACTCTTTGTGTCATTATTTTATTGCTTTTCATTGATAACAGTGCTGGTTACTCGTAATCACGCACACATCAGTTCTGATTCCGTCAAGGTCAATCGAATCGCTCTAGTTGGTATAAACCTTCTATCAATATTTTGGCACTAGAAGAAGGGTCTTCCCCAAAATCTCAGAATTTTCGGTAAACAACCCCAATGACCCGATCACTTAAGGCTCACGATGGTTCGTACAAGATCAAAACCACCCACCGAGAGGTGTATTAAGACACCGTTGGGCATCGAACCAGCAAGGGGTAGGGACATCGAATCCCAAAACTGGTCAACTAGTGGAGATGATCAGAATGATGGTTGCATAGGCAGTGCAACAAATTGTCGCTGAATTGAGAAACCATCAATCGGCACCCCAAGATCTAGACCAGTCGCGCTTCACCGATGTTACCCCAACAGGTTGGAATTCAGTCAGTGAAAAATTTGGCTTGTCAACACCAAGGAATGGTTGACAATCTAGGCACCATCAGGCACATTCTACTCATGAATGAGAATCTTGTAGGCAAACTAACCCTGAGAGGTGACAAGGCAAAGAGCTCATGAGAGAAGATGAAGGCAACGGTCACTAAAGGGATATTCGACCTGCTCAACGATATCTCCAACGTCATTGTTTTGATTTTAACCCATGCCAAAGGCATGCTCAAACCTCGCAGGTTTGTAAGATAAGTAATGCTTGCCAATCTGGCAATGACTGACATTCTAGTTATAACTAACATCATGAGCAACGCACTGATGAGCATGATAATACTTACCAGCCAAGCCATCATGACTCGACCTTGCGCTTCAATGCGCACAATGGAGGGGGTTCACAGGCGACAGACTTGCGAACTTATCTACTTGAGGTGAGGCTGAATAAAGCCAGCCAAGGCAATCTCCATAACGAAGACTTAGATCGAGTGCACAGAATGCTCGACGATCTAAGAGCCTGCTAGAACAATGTGGCAAAAGAGATAATGAGTTCTCCATTCACAGAGGAAGTTCACCAAGCCCTACTTCCTTAAGGATTCAAGTGCCAAAAAGCAAGTTCGATGGGAAAGGAGATCTCAGAGACCACATTAACACTTTCAACGACCTGATGGAACTACACCAAGTCTGTGACTAGGCAAAGTGTCGCTGCTTCAAGACTACATTATTAGGGGATGCCAAGAGGTGCTACAAAAGGCTCAAGGCGAACTCGATTAGCTATTGGCAACAGTTCTCCTCGCTGTGCCTATCGTAATTCCAAGCAAGGAGACAGTTCGTAATACCACTCAGCTATGTGAGCAATATTCGTCAGGAGAGAGATGAAACACTAACCTCATATGTAACGAGGTTCCGAAAAGAACAGGCAAAGGTCGGGGATGCACCTAAAGAGTTAATCCAAACTTTGCTCATTACGAGTATTAGGCCGCAAATAGAGCTATGGAAATAGCTCCAAAGTGAAGACCATTTGAGCTTGACAAAGTTCTACCAAATGGCTACTAAACATGAGCGACTGGAAAGCTCGCTAGTAGCCCTAGCCAGAAGCTCACTGTGAAGAGATCTGATGGGCGAAAAGATTGCCCAGTGGATAAACAAAGGGACCAAGACCGTAATGATAAGGACCAAAACAAGTTCCAAAAAAGGTCAAAAATAGAAAATCACAAAAAAAATGCAACCTTTTTCGCGATATGCATAATACACCCACTCACTCAAGACACAGTTGACATATATGAAGTCTCCCGTGAGACTAAGAGACTGCCACTCCAAAAAGGATGAGGGGGGCTCCAGCTAGAAAAGATCAGCAGAAATATTCTCGATACTACTAGGACTTTGGGCACAACACTAATGAGTGTCGGGCTCTAAAGGATGCCATCGAAGATCTGTTCCTAATGGTGCACTGAAAAGAATTTGTTAAGAAGGTACTAGCTCGTGAAAATATAGGCAAGTAGAATAAGTAGATCCAGCAAGCCCCGACGAACAACGAAGTCTTGGTAAGCATGATTTATGGGGGTCTCGATATTGCAGGAAGCTTAAGGCGCTCTCGTGAGTAATATACACAAGAGGCTAGAACAGACTCGATCCTTGAGTAATGAGCTGTGAATAGAAGCCACCAAAGTGGCCTAGACAAGAGAGCGAGGTGATAGGATTCACCGTGGATGAGTGTGAAGAATCTCCTCACCATAACCATGATGCGATCGTGATTGCAGTAAGGATCAGCAATGCTCGAGTACTCAAGGTGATGGTCGATAATGGCAGTGAAGAGAATATCATCTTCTTAGGAGCTTTCCGAGAATTGAGGTTCACAGAGAGAGATCTGAAGGCATGTTTATCGCCACTTTATGGATTCACCAAGGATAGCCTAGTCCCCAAGGAATTAATCAACCTGCCTGTGACTTTAGAGGCAGAACCCAAGATTAGGATGGTGATGGTAGAATTCTTAGAGGTAGACTACCCGACCACTTACAATATCATCATTGGAAGACCGATCTTGGATGATCTAAGTCAAGTCACCTTGGTACATTGCTAAGCAATGAGGTTCTCGATTCCAGGCTGTGACAATCAGGAGCTACAGAAAAGAATCTCGAGAATGTTACAATTGAGCTATTCATGCTGCACTGAAATGGCTGCTTTCGAGAACCATGGTCATCGTAAAGTCCAAGCCAAACCCTGGACCTTTGGAAGATACCATAGATCCTTGCATCCATGAAAAAGAGCCCGTGACAAGGTTAACAGAACAACTACTAGCGAGGAAGACCCAACTTGTGTGGTAAAAATTGGCATCAGTCCGAGCAATGAACTAGCCAATAATTTAGTAGGGTTCCTAAAGAAAAACCTTGATGTGTTCGCATCGATGCATGCGAATATGATGGGGATCAGCCTCGATGTAATGTGCCCAGATTAAATGTCAACCCAATAGCTCGATCAATCAAACAAACAGGAAGATCTATGGATGTAGAGTGGTCCAAAGTGCTCAAAGATGAGGTTGACAAGCTCCTGAACATCGACTTCATCAGGGAAGTGAAATACCCAAACTGGCTTACCAACCTAGTCTTGGTAAAAAAGTCGAATGGCAAGTGGCGAACTTGCGTCGACTTTATAGATTTGAACAAAACCTGTCCCAAAGATAGCTTTCCACTACTAGGATCGACCAATTAGTAGATGCGACAGCCAGAAACGCACTACTCAACTTCATGGATGTATACTCGGGATATAACCAAATCTCGATGTATCAGCCTGATAAAGAACACGCCTAATTTATTACTAACCGGGGTATTTATTATTACAGAGTTATGTCATTTGGCTTGAAGAACGCTAGAGTGACTTACCAGCGTTTGGTGTACAAGATGTTCGCTAAGCAAATTGACAAAACAATGGAAGTATACATCGATGACATGCTCGTCAAATCAAAGGTCGCTAAAAATTTGTAATGTCCACATGGAGGTACATGATTTAATTTATGCTCTTGTACCCTTAGTTGATTTTTGCTAAAGTTATTTTAAGGAAAATGTGAAGAAAATGCCTTAAACTTGCATTAAGGGTAAAATGGTCTTTGCACTCAAAATTAGTTGAAAAAGTGGGGAGTGAAAAGAGATAGAATTTCATGGAGAACGCAATAAAATAAGGGAATTATGGTAATTGACTAAGGGACATAGATGAAATTTTAAAGAAAGTGCAAGGGCAAAATGGGAAACTACATATAATTTTATATTATATCAAGGGAGTGAAACCCTAGCCACTCCTCAACCCATTTGCTAGCCATTTCTCCTCCAAATCCTCTCAATTTCTTCACTTCTTTTTCAAAAGAAATTCATAGATCTTGGGTATTTTTGAGTGGATTTTTAATCTCAAGCATCTATAGGTAAGATCCTTGCACTAAGAAGTGATTTTTAATTTCTAAGGTGTTGATTTTGATAGTTTATGCTCATAGGATTTAAGAGGAAGAGAGTTTGATCAAAGAAGATTCTTAAAGGGTTGAATTTGCTCATATCAAAAGTAAGTAAATTCTATCGTAAGTATGATTTAAGATATGTTGTGTAGAGAATTTTCTTTATGCATATATATATGTGTTATATGTAGAATTGTTGATGGATTTGGTGTTGAATAATGATTAGAACCTATCCATGAGAAGTGTGTTGGTGTATTTGATACTTGATGAATGTTTGGATGAGATTTGGAAGAATTGGAGTGAAAATTTTGAAGTATGTATTTTGGGCAGATTTGGTGTTAGTTATGAAAGAGTTTATGCCAAATTTTTGGTGGCCTAAAATAGAGATAGAAGTGTAGCCAAATTAGTATTAATTTGTGCACATGAATTGTTTGATGAAATGTCAAAGAGAAGTCCATGCCAAGAGGTCCCTATGATATGAGGTCCCCCAATGATAGTCCCTACCAACTACCCTTGCGACCTTTACGCTTTTCCCCGCCATCTTCTTGATCCTTCTCTCTTGTAAAAGTTGGACCATTAACATACTCCTTGAAATGACTTTTCTGGATAAGGTCTTCAATTGCTTGCTTAAGAGTTTGGTACTCAGCAGTATGATGCCCATTATCCCTATGGTCACGGCAATATTTCTTGCCATTCCTTTTAGATAGGGGTTTTTTCATGGGCTTTGGTTCACCAAGCAGGGCTTCTACTGATTCATCCAGAATTGTTGAGGCCAATGCATTGAGTGGAGTGAAGTTATCTCGGTTACGATGAGGAACTTGAGCATAAGATTTCTTAGGCTTAAATCGTTGCTTCTTTCCCTTTCTATGATCGTCATTAGCCCACTTACGATTAGTTCTTCTATTACTCTCTCCCCAAAATTCATCCCTCCAATTGGAAACGCTAGTCGAAGGCCTAAGGTCATGGCAACTTAAAGCTACCACTAAGTTTTCTAACCGTAGATATCTTTTAGTCAAGTTGTAGAAGCGAGTGAGGGAAATATCGTCCTCCAATTGTTGTTTCTTCCACAAGTCGATTTGCGGACGAACTCCGACAATAATCAGAGTTCGAAGTGAATCTTCAAGTGTATTAGCTACCTTATTCAGTTCCTTGTGGAACTTGTAAATGTAAGACTGGAGAGAATCATTCTTCTCCTGTCGTATGTTGTTTAAATAGTTGAGTGGCATCGAGAACTTCCGATTGTCATGGAATTGTCTCAAGAACAATGAGCTCATCTGTTGCCACCAGTAGATAGACCCTGGTGGAAGTGATCTGAACCAACGCTTAGCATGGGTAGTCAGAGCACTACTAAGCAGCGACACTTCGCCAAGTTTGAAACTTAGTGAAGCTCCATCAGATTGTTAAACTCATAGAGGTGATCCTGAGGATCAAAATTCCCATCAAATGCCATCATGTTAGGCATCTTGAACTTTAGCGGGAAAGAAGCAGTCAGAACTACTAGAGAAAAGGAAGACGCCTCAGTGACCTACCCCTGCTCATTCTGTTGAGCTCGACGTTGATCTAGACCTCACTGTAACTCCTTTATCTGACAAAGCGGAGCCCTTTAGGGATCACTTTTCACAATGTAGGTACGCTCCCTATGATTGCAATTGATGAAAGACCGCAGGTCGATGCTTTCTCTGCCTTGGTCAGAGCCTTCGACGTGTCTTAATACTTGCTGGCCTGAGTCCTATGAAGGCACTGAGTGGTTGGGGGAGTTTT